GTGCCATTCAATGCAGAGGCAGGCTTGAGACTCTTACAGTGGGTCTTCAACCACCTTGTTTACAGGATCTTGTACTATGTGACTTTTGGTTCTTTGAAGTCAAAATAACCGAGACTGTCACAAGAGCACAACTAAAGACACTGTTGAAAAAGGATTCCAGGATTGCTTCAGAAAGTAGCAAGAATGATGGGATAGATGTGTTCAAACAGGAGAGGAATACTTTAGGGAGATTTTTTTTTTGCTCTGAATGCCTTCCGGGCAGGTTTGGCTGGCTTGAGTTGTGTAGATCAAACCACAGCAACCTGAGCCTGACTGCTTTGTTGAAGCAGCCACTTAAAGAACTGAGCTAAAGGGCAGGCCCTCCAAACCTAAATCTGATTTTTTTTTATTTTATTTTTTTATTTTTTGTGGAACTGGGGATTGAACTCAGGACCTTGTGCTTGCCAGGCAAGCGCTTATTCTACTGCGCTATCTCTTCAGCCCCCTTTAGGGAGATTAATGAATGCAAGGTATTTTGTACTCTGCTAGTTCTAAAAACTTAAACGTTCCCCACATTTTCCAGTTGTATCTTGTACACTATATGAACATTTGACAGTTTCATATTTGTGTTTCTTGTGTTTTTTTCTTTTCTTTCTTATTTATTTATTTATATTTTAGGGAAGGGTCTACAGGGTGTTCAGGGTCTCACTACTAGATCAGACTCCCAAGAGCTGGGATTACAGGCTCGTGCCACCACACCCAGTCTCAATTGCCATCTCAGTGCGCTCCAGGGGTGGGGCCGGCATGGCAGGCCTGGGGATCAAACCCCTGGCCCCTGTGCCTGCTTGCAGTCACTTTAATCTGCTGAGCTATTTGGCTGTCTCCCCTCTCCCCTCTTTTTCTTGCAGTACCAGGGATCGAACTCAGGACATTGTAAGGCAGGCGCTTACACCACTGAGCTCTCGCCCTGGCCCAAAACAACTGAGCTATACGGCAAAGCTGGGTTTTTTCTTGCCATTGTTTGAGAGTTAGGGAACTCCCATTTGGATTGTGTGCTGGGCACTTTACATGTTGTCATATGTTCCTCACAATTATCCCATCCTTCCATTTCACAGAGGAGGAAAGGAGCACTCTCAAAATAGTGATGTAGTTAGATCATGTCAGTAGGAAATGGGCAGTTTCACAATCTGTACTTTTTCTATTATCCCAGGGCACACATCCTTTTCTGTAATTGGGCAGTGATTGGAAATCCACTTGAAATGTACATGAGTTTTGCTAAACAGTGGTAGTAGTTAAATTGAGAGGTAATATACTTGGTAGACGTTCTTTGAATATATTGTTAACTTAATAAGTTGCCACATTGAGTTCAGTCCCCACATTGAGTTCATCTCTTACTGACATAATCTAACTACATTACTATTTTGAGAGTGCTCCTTTCCTCCTCTGTGAAATGGAAGGATGGGTTAATTGTGAGGAACATATGACAACATGTAAAGTGCCCAGCACACAATCCAAATGGGAGTTCCCTAACCCTCAAACAATGACAAGAAAAAAACCCGTCTCTGACAAAACCCATCTCTGACAAAACTAAGCAAAAAAAGGGGATATAAATAAAGGACCATTTCGTAGTATATACAAAATAGGATAGATATACAGCTACTCTGTCTTAATTCAATGAGAAGAAAGATTTGTACTAATAGTGTTTAGACAAGATATCATGTTTGCATCTTGTACTATGAATAACTACTACGAAGACAATAATATGCAGTGTGTTAATTATTGTAACTGTCCTACCAACCTGTTTTGAAACTAACTCACTGGTATTTGTTTCTCAATAAAATTAATAAATACAGCAGAAAAAATATAAATAAATTGGGAGTCCAACTAAGAGGCCAGAATGTAGTGTATCATATGTATGAATCTGTGATCAATTCAGAGTACTCACACAGTATTTGATCAGGCTAATATATACAAAAATATCAACTAAGAAAATGTTTTAATGTTAATAAAGAATTACTAAGAATAAAACATAACAAAAATATTGGAATGGCAAATATATGACCAGCACTTCTAAGAGTTTGGGGATAGGATATCACACAAATTTCTAGTATGTGGTGGGTGTGGACAGTGTCAGTGATACTTACTGGTGGCCAGGTGTGACTTGTGGGACTGAGCTACTGATATTTCCTTGATAGAGAAGTAAAATATTTCCATGACAAAGAACAACTGAAGAATTTAGTTGAGACTGGGCATGGTTGCACATGCCTGTAATCCCAGCTCTGGGGAGGCTCTAAACAGGTGGATCACTACAAGATCCATCTATAAACTCGGACAGAACCATGAACCATACGGTGCAGGAGAAATCCATTTGTAGAGTATGCTGATGGAAATATTTTGCTGCTGTATACAAAGAATAATTGAAAGACTTCTGTATATCTCTTTCTCCTGTGTTTCGTTGTTTGCCCTATTTGGTGGGTTCTTTCTTTTCTCATTCATGAGTTGTGGTCATTTTGATCTCTCTCAAGAATATCTTTTTTTGGTAGTCTGTGTATGCCTGGCTTTGTTGTCATGAAATTCCTTAGTTGTTCTTTGTCATGGAAGTATTTCACTTCTCTATCGAACTTGAGAGTTTTGCAGGGTATATCAGTCTGAGTTGGAATTTGTTTTCTTGTAAGACTTGAAGTACTTTGCTCCATACTCTATTTTTTTTTTTTTTTTGAATTTTTTTATGTTAGGGAAGGGTCTACAGCATGTTCAGGGTCTTCCTACTAGATTGGCCTTATAGTGATCCACCTGTTGAGAGCCTCCCAAGAGCTGGGATTACAGGCATGTGCAGTCATGCCCAGTCTCAATTGCTGTATCAGCATGCCCCTTGGGGCAGGGCTGGCAGAGCTGGCAGGGCAGGCCCTGGGGATCAAATGCTTGCAGGTGCTTTAATCTGCTGAGCTATTCAGCTGGCCCTAATGCTCTTCTTGACTTGATGGTTTGTGAAGAGAAATCTGCCATTATTCTGATGGGTTTTCCTTTAAATGTGACCTGTTTCTTTTCTCTAGTGGCTTTTAGTATGCTGTTATTTGGAGTTGTATATGCTTCGGTTACCTGACTAGTCAGATTGTTTCCCCATATTTGAGAAGTTTTCTGCTATTACTTCTGCCCATTTTCTTTCTTTCTTTCTTTCTTTCTTTCTTTCTTTCTTTCTTTCTTTCTTTCTTTCTTTCTGTGTGGCCAGCTCAGCCCACCAGGGGGATTGAACCACAGTCCCTTTGCGTTGCTAAGCTTGTTCTAAGTAGGTGCTTTAGACCACTGAGCCATCTCACCAGCCCATGCCCATATTCTTTTTACGTCATTTGTATTGACTCCTTTTTTCTCATTCATGCCTATTAGTTTCATGTGTTCATCTTTGCCTTGTCTTGAAGGTGTTGAATTATTTTTTTCTGCATCCTAGTTGTTAAGAGATCTTTTCTTACCTTTTCACTAGCTGCAATGGTGTCTTCAAGTTTATTTTCACTTCCATTCAAACAGTTTTGCCGGCTTGTGATTAAAGTTTTAATTTCCTGTATATCACTTTGAATATGCTTCATGCATTCTATTTCTTTCCTCTATGCTATTGTCTCCTGCATTTGTTCTGGGTGGGCTCGTGGCCTGAGAATGTTTTTTTTTTTTTTGGCGGAACCAGGGATTGAACTCAGATCCTTGCGCTTGCCAGGGAAGCACTTATTCTACTGAGCCATCTCCCCGGCCCCCTGAGAATGTATTTTGCTCCTTCTCTTTGTCATTTTGTGTAGTACTGTCTTCTGACCTTTGGTGTAGAGCTTTGGTAGAATTCTTACCTTAGCACCAGGTCCAGATCTACCAAGTTCAGACTTATCTAGGTGGGTGTGGCCTGGGTCTGGCTGCTGTGCTCCACTTTTTCCTGCTACAGCCCTTGGAAGTGAACCCTCTGTGCCACTCTGGCAAGATGTTTTGCTTCTGGATCAGCTGGGTAGGTCTTGCCTATAGCCTCTCTGCAGGGAGTTCTACCCCAGGGTTCCACACCGGCCCTGTCTGATGGTGGAATTTCTACAGACATGCCTGGCCTGGGCCCTGACTGGAGTGAGGATCTGGAGGACCCTGGGCAGTCCCACTCATTTGCCTGGCCTGGGTGTTGGCTGGAATGAGGGTCCTGCGGGCCCCTGGTGGTCCCACTCACTGTGCCTGGGTGCTGGCTGGAGTGAGGATCCAGAGGGCCCCTGGCTGTCTTTTCCTAGTATTTTAATGTGGTATATAATTTTAGTGGGATTAAACTAGAATTTTTTTTTTTTTAAAGTGAATTTAGTATAGGGTGTATAGGGTATACAGGGTCTCACTACGTAGATTGGACTTGTAGTGATTCTGCTCTTTTCAGCCTCCCAAGCGCTGGGATTACAGGCGTGGGCCACCACACCCAGTCTGTATGGATGTCCCAGGGTGGGGCCACCCCTCACCCTCCACCCTGCAGGTGAGAGGGCAGGGCCTGGCAAGGTAGGCAAGGGATGGAACCTCTGTTGCTGTGCTCTGTGAAAGCAGGCTCTTTAGTCTGCTGAGCTATCTGGCCAGCCCTAAACTAGAATTTTTAGGTTATATACTTGGCTGTCACTGGTTAAATAAATTTGTTTATTTATTTATTTATTTACTTATTTATTTTTTTCATCTGGCCAGAAGCTTTATTGTGTTATAAATAAGCACTTTATATACTTTGAGATGGTTAAAAGTTATTTCCAGATTACTACAATGAATATTTATCAAAAATAGCAGTCATCTCAGTAATCATATATACTTCCTCCCATCACTAAAGACTTCCACTTTTGTGTCAAAAAACTTACAAATGTCATGAACAAGCTAAGAAATGGTCTATACAAGACAAAAAGAAAATTCTGCTGGGGAAACTAACAAAGCACTTCCCCCACTCTACTTCTGATTCATATTTTTCATAGACAGTTAGCTTTGCTTTACAGTGCTTCACCTGAGAGGGAATGCAAAATACTAAGTTTTAGGAGAAAAACTGCTTTCATCAAAACCTCCAGTGTAAACCACAGCAGGCTTTTGTAATGATATCAAAACAAAAAGTGGAGAAAAGGATGTATTCCATTAGACATCACTACTTCTGCAGCAAATCTTCAGCAAACTATAAACATACTGCTTGTGTACTTTAAAAAGCTATACATTCCATGCTTTGAACATTTTATCTTATCTAGAGGTGTTTTCAGGATATGCTGCTTTAGGAGTCAAAAGGAAAACTCACATATACCTAATTCCACCGGGGACTGCCAGTGTGACTAACACTCTGGCCTGCCCGAACACATCCTCACTGGGACATCTCTACGTTGAAGACGGCACCGAAAGAGCAGGAGGATGAGTCCCCCAGATCTCAATTCCCAAGGCAAACGAGAAAACAGCAATCACTCGTTTGTTACAAATACTCACATGTCTGCCTCAATCCTAAGAATGAGGGGTGGGGGATAAATGGTGTGGGTATCCCACTCTCTAGTCTCTGTACCAGAACCTCTATGTCAATTCTGATATTACTTCAGTCTTTGTGTCCTAGACAGTCCTGGTGGGGCATGCCTGTCATCTCAATACTCAGGAGGCTAAGGCAGGAGGACTGCTTTGAATTTGAGGCCAGCCTGGGCTACCCAGTGAGTTCAAGGCCAGCCTGAACTATATAGCAAGAACCTGTGTCAAAACAACAACAAAAAAATTGCGTCCCAAAAAATGAACAGGTACACACAAACTTGCTAATTTTCACTTACTCTAATGAACTCAAAAATAGGTAAAATGCTTGTTTCCTAATGTAAACCTTAGCTTTCCTATTTGTTAAATAAAATATCTTAAAATTACTCAAACATGAGAGTTGGACATATTTATGTGCTTATTTAGAAGAGAACTACTGAATTTATTCTCAAAGAAAAAGCAGACCTGGGGGTTGCATTACTGAAACATTTAAATGTGTCAATATGGTTTTATCCTCCAACCTCAACAAGAGCAGCTTGTGCAAAGAGTGTAATGAACATCTGTCCTACTAAACATGACGGCATATGATGCATCAGAGGCCGGATGCTGTTGCTTCACTTCTTTCTGTTGCCTCCAGTTGCCAGCATAGTTGCAACTCGCATAAATATATTTAGTACATCCATGTAGACTGCCAGTATTGAGTTGATGGGGTCATACTTTTGAGCTCCATACATTGGTGTTAGTTCTGCACGTTTGATCACTTTCTGAGTATCATGCAGAAGGAACATGCTGAAAAGAACTAATCTACCATACACTGCCACTGTGTACAGAGTGGAACCAGCCACAGTGGTAGGTGGAATAAACATCGATTCTAGTGATGCTGCAAAGATGAGACCCAGGCCCACGCCCAGGGGTGCGCCCATGTTCAGGAACTTCTCACTGGGTGCATACATGGCCACGGTGGACAGGCCGCCCATGATGCCAGCGGTGCACCATGCAGCTCTGACAAGGAGAGGGCCGCCCATTAGGGTCAGAGGTGCCACCACTGCACCCATCACACCAGAATGGAGCAACCAGGCAAGATGCTTTTGGCCTGGATGTTTTTCATATGGTATGGATTGCACCAGCATTCCAGCTCCAATCATGACTGCAAAAGTTGCACCAATTGTCACCCAAGAGCCTCTCATCATGAAGTTCATGAGAACAGGACTTCTAGCTACTGCCAAGGCAGACAAAGCTGTTAAACCAATACTTCCTGCCAAGTACATGTAGGTGGAATGTATCCTATCTCTCACATATTGAGGCCAAATTACAGCCTTTTCAATCGCTCTTATCTTGTTAGACATTCCCAAGCCATAGTAGCACAGTGCTCCAAGACCAACAGCAGCCCCTCCAGCAACAATATATCTTCCTAACTGTTCAATTTTATATGCTTTTTCCATTGATGGTTCCAGTGCTGCCTCTTTGAGTTCTTGGGCAGTTTTCCCACGGCGGATTCCAAGTCTTGACCTGGTGGCATATTCCCTGCTGGGTGTTAAGAGCCATTGATTCTTTGTGATTGAATTCTTCACAACGGGGGAGGAGACTTTGGTGAATGCTGGGTGGAACACCCTAGAAGTTAGTGTCCGGAGATACACAAGCCTTGCAGCCAGCATAGTGATGTCCTAGTTCACCAAGAAGATCTGAAATGCTCAGCTCAGCTCCGGGTCTCTTCCTTGAAGGTCCCTTGCCCAAAAAATTTTATTTAAATATAAAAGAGTCTCGCCATACAGTTCAGACTCAGTGATTCTCCTGCCTCTGCAGCTTTGGGTTTACAAGGTGTCCACCACCATGCTCAGGTTCCAGGGCTGGCATGACATGTGGTACAGGGGATTGGACCTGGGTCCTTATATTTGGCAGGCAGGTGCTTAGACCATTGAGTTAGCTCCCCAGTCCAACACTGGTTAATTTTGTAGTGATTCCTGTGAGCACACTGTTAGACCTTATCATATGCACTAGTACAAGTGTTATTTCTCTTGTTGTTCTGATAGCTTTTTCTTTTTTAGTACAAGTGTCAGGGTGGTTGTAATCAGGGTAAGTTTGGATGAAGTGCTTGCTTTGTACCCATTTGAGAGTACTGTGACGAGCAAGAGGCCACCAGTAACCAACTGGGTAATCTTATGACCATGTGGTCCTTTTTATGACAGGGTGCTTTGGGGTGCTTTTCTCACCTGGTTTTAGGCAACCAAAGGAGGTTATCTGGAAGAACTGATGTCCATACCAATCTCACTAACCCTGATTACAGCACTGAGGCACTTGCTGCTGTTGTAAAGGTTTTCATAGTGTGTGTTTTTGATTTTGTGTTTAATGACTCCTCATTACACTTAGGATAAAACTGCAATTTCTTATATAGTATTAACACTCTTTTGCTATATTTTAGTCTCCTTTACTGTATATACTGTTTAGTAACTTAACTTTCTCATGATATATGTTGGCAGACTCAGCATAGGTGGCATAGATTATGCTGATTGAGACATAGTTTATTTAATTTATTTATTTATTTATTGCAGAACCAGGGATTGAACTCAGGCCCTTGCTCTTGCCAGGCAAGCACTTATTCTATTGAGCTATGTCCCCGGCCCCTGAGACATAATTTAGAATTAATTTGTCTGTGTTATTGGTATTCCTTGTTGGAATTCTGAAGTAGCTCTTACTGAAATGTGTGATAAGTATGAGGTTGAGGTTGGTGACAGCTTTTTCCCCTAGGGAGATTCTTTTAATAAAATCAAAGTTAGGTGAACAGATTTACAGTACAGTCCAGAAATGGCTATGATATGATTAAGAACTTCTCTATGGTTATGAACATTTCAACAACCATTTTCTTGGTGAAATCTTCAGGGAAATCCAATAAAGGGTCTTAAAACTATGGAATAGTACCTAGGCCTATTTCATGTTTCCTTCTGGGGTGTCTGTGTATGTATGTGCAAGATCCTGGAGTACAGGTCTCTAGTCCCTTCAGTTTCATTGTTCATTGGGATGTTGCCAGCTAACTTGAGATCCAGTTTTACACTTCTTGGTTTATAATACTTTCACAATGATGGTATCACCAAAGGTCTGAGAAGAAGATGCCTAATATGTTGTCACATCATAAGGATTGCTTCAGCTAGAGCCATATCTGGTCTTTGGATTAGTTTTTTGTAATTTTTTTTTTTTTTTTTGGTAGAATTAAGGTGGTTTAGCAAGGTTCACTAAGTGATTACTAGTTTTAAGGCTTATGCTTAACCGTCCATCGTTGACAGATTTCTAATTGATCTAGAGACAGATTTTATGTATATAGTAAATCTGAAATAATCTATGTGGTGCTCATTTATTTAATCTGAATTAGTATGAATATTTGCTCCTTTTTTGCATGTTTCCAGTGCCCCAAATCTGCTCTCAGAAATGGAATTCGGTGTCTAATTGTAATTGTCTTGGATACACTGGCATATTTTTGCTGTACTGTTTTACTTTTATTTATTGCAAATGATGATTTGTTAGTTGCCTGCAGCCAGCACATCTGAGCTCATTTGTTTAACTAAAACACTACAGGGCATAGATGCCTGTAACAGGCAGTAACAGTTACCAGCCACCCCAGTTGCTTACCACCTCATTATGGCTCTAAGTCAAACAAATGGGAAAGCAGATTATTCTTAAAATGTTCCAAGAAGTATAGAAAACTGGAGAATGGTGGGACAATTAATGTGTTCGTTTTGGCAGAGAAGTGCCTGGCTGATTTCCTTTGTAGAAAGAAGTAACACTTTGGAGTGCAGAAATTTCAGGCATACAGCAACAAACAGCCCTGTGAATCCTTTATTGAATAGATAATTACCAAGTGTTTTTCTTCTGGCAGAGCCAGGCGTGGTGGGGATGCATGAATGAACGAGGCACTTTCCCTGTTCCCATGGAGTATATAATCTGGGCCCTGTGATGATGTTTTGCCGAGAAGTGGTGATGGGTGAGGAGGGGAGGGCAGTGGTAGGGTCTGTCAGGTCTGATTGGCTCATCACAGAATGGCAGGTATTGGCTTACTCACCACACCACTCAGGGAGCTTACCAAGTGAGGTGCAGGGAACTCAGACTGCTTCAGAATGATATAGTCATACATTTGGAAACAAACATCATTTAAAATAATCTTGATAAAATTTTGTCTGGATTAGGTGACTCACACTTGTAATCCCAGCTAATAGGGATGCTAAGGCAAGAGTATCACAAGTTCCAGGGCAGCCTGGAGTTTAGTGAGACCTGTTTTGATCCATCGATCAATCATTGATAGATGAGCAGGCAGGTAGGCAGCCAGAGAATGTAGCTCAGGGGTGGAGTGCCAGGGATTCAATCCCCGTGTGGAGGATGGATGGGTGGAGAATTTACACTTCTGGGCAGAGCCTCTCTTGAGAGCTAGAGAGTAGAACGTGCTTCTTGTGCAAGGGGAGATAATTTTGTCTTCTGACAGCAAAGTGTCTGACACAGCATTTATTGATTCAGTGAATTTCTGTGCATTGCCTGCTTTGTACTAGTTTGAGCATGCTGTGATGGACCAGAGCCCACATATAACCATTTGGTCACACTACCATGTGCTCATTTTTTTTATGACTGAGTGTTTTGGGTGCTTTTCTTACCTGGTTTTAGGCAATCAAAGGAAGTTACTTGAAAGACCTGATGTCCAAATCAATCTCTTTAATATTTGTTGGAATTAAGCTCTCTATAAAGCTAGTATTATATAAAAAATAGAATCTTCTTTTGATTTTAGCTTTGGGAGGAGCCAGCCAGCACTTTTCTCTAGAGAGAAAATTGAGAGTCTGGAACTCTGTACTCCATCCATCAAGCCTACTTTTTCAACTTTGTTGTTTGCTAGTCCCCTGTAGATTGACCACTGCATCACAGAACATTCCAGGGTCTCTGTGAGTGCCATGCCTCCATGTACACTATTTCTATTTGTTTGGCTGTCTGACTTCTTTTTGGTTCTTCAGAAAATAGCAGTAATTTCTTCTAGGATGCCTTCCCTGGTACTGCCTCTAGTGTACGTTGGGTGTACATTGAGCTTTATACTTCCCCTGCACGCACAGTCTGGCTTCTTTATTCTTTGTGTGTCTTGGAGGTAGAGGCTGTACCTTTTCATGGAACCCTGCATGTTTTAGGTGCCCAGGCAGCATTTGTCAAATAAATCAGATTTAACAGCTTTTGAAGGTATAGCCACGTGTATATAATTGAAGCTCTTGGTCCTAGTTATAGAAGAGACTATCATTTAACAAAGAAAGAAAGTGAAGCCTATTGAACAGATTTTATATATTTGAGTTCATTATTAACCTTATAAAGCTCTTTACAGTCCTTTGCATTTTATACCTCTTTGCTCTTTGCCTGAGTAACTGAAAAACTAAGTAATGGTTCCTACTTCCTGCCAGCTACTAATGTATATTATTAAATCTGATCATAGTGTTAAAAACTAATTAGAAGTCTTTGGTTATTAACAAAAATCAATTTGACTTAGCCTGTGCCACAGAAAGGTGAATATGTGATGAAGAAATGGGTATTTTAAAGAATCCAACATTTTAGGACTGTAACGAGGCTTCAGGGAGAAAGGGAACTGAGAATTGGAAGGTCAGCAGGGATCCTGAGAGTCCTTTCTATTTTTCTGCTTATTTCTGTGGAGCTCTTTTTTTCTGTCTTTCTCATGAATTGGCTTTCTCTGCTTTGCAGTGGGGTAGAGGATGGTTTCCCATACTCCTCAGCTTTGCAGCCAAGTTCCGACTATCAGGAATGCCTAGCTTTCTGTCTCAATTCCGAATTCCCCAAGATATTGGCTTGCCTTAGGCTGCATGTTTATCCTGATTCAGCTGTGTAGCCAGAGGTGGGATCATGCTGAACAAATCTGTCTCCTTCTGGTCATTTCTGTGGAGTGTATGAGACAACAGAAAAGGAGAGAGGGAGAGAGGGAGGGACAGGGACAGAGACAGAGACAGAGACAGACAGGAGAGAGACAGAGAGATGTCACAAGGCTGTTGATTCACTTAAGATATCTAATACAGTGATAAATACTAGAGACCCATTAACTTACCTGGGAGCAAAGCTAGTTTATCTTGTCCAAAAATATTCAATTTTTTTGAAAAGATCATATTTATCCTTTTAATATTAGTATTAGTTGATTGTTATTCTTAAGATAATGGCATTCATTTGGTTTTTTTTGTGTGGTATTATTTCTTAAATATACTTCAATTGCTGGGAAGTATCTGTTCAATACATACATAATAAGAGTCACATGTAATTTAAAGTTTTCTTGAAGTTTCACTAAAAAAATTGAAATTAATTTTGATAGTATATTTAAAATAGTATAATTAAAATATAACTTAAAATGTTATATTCCAAATATTGTTTTGTGAATATAAAGTTAAGAATGAAGTATTTCCATTCTTTTTGAATTTTTGAAATCTCATATGTTTTGTGTTTTAGCACATGTCAATTTGAAATAGGCAAACTATAAAAAAAAAAAAAAAAGAAAAAGCCACATTTGAAATTGTAAGCACTGGTAGTTCAATGGTTACCATTTTAGTTTTAGAACTATCTAAAAGCAATCACTGTTTTTCTAAAATTTCTGTGTCAAAAACCTTAATTAAGCTTATAGATAGCTCTTCTAAAAGTACACTTTCTCAGAGCAGTGGAAAGTGCTAGGGCTATAGATTTTTAAACCCTCCAGAAAAAGAGTTGTAGGTTTGGAAGATTTGCTGTACTATGTGGCAGAGGATATGTAATTCTTAACTGAATCACCAGATTTGAAAGCTGGTTCTAGTTTTACTCAGACCTCTGATTCCTGGAATGTTACTTAACTCCTTGGGAGCTTCAGTTTGCTTATCTATAAAAATAGGGCTCGTAATAGTCTTGTTCATTAGAAGAGAATTTTATAGGATTTAAGTGCACTAATAAACTTGAAAGTGCTTTGAAAGACGTTTATAGGGCTTCACAAATTACACAGCATTGTTTTAATTTAACTGCTCCCCTACTACATTTTGGAACTAGTAATTGCTATCATTTGTTGAGAATTTACTTTGTGCCAGGAAGTGTTCTAAGTATATTATACATGTTATGTAATTCAATCATAACAACAAGTTTAAGAGGGTATTGTTATCTCTGTTTTATGTATAAGGCGCCTAAGACATGGGAGTTAGGAAAGCAGTCCAGGGTCACATATTTGGTGAATATTTAAACTGTGGGAATGCTTTGTACCAGTCTGAGAATGCTGTAATGAACCCCAGTTGTGATGAAATGCACACAGCATAAAATTTATCATTTTAATTGCTTTTAAGTATATAGTTCAGTGACATTAAGTATACTCACAGTGTTTAGTAACCATCACTGCCATCCATCTCCAGAAAGTTTTCATATTCTCCAGCTAAAACTCTGAACCTACTATATATAGGTGCCCATTGTCTCCTTCCCAGGCTATAGTGACTACCATGTTACTTTTTCTATAAATTTAATTACTCTAAATACTACATGTGTGAGAGTTTATGCAATTTTATCTTTTTGGGGTTTTTTGTTTGTTTTTGTTTTTAATTTGTTTATTTATTTATTGTGTGTGTGTGTGTGTGTGTGTGTGTGTGTGTGTGTTTGTGGCCAGCTCAGCCCACCAGGGGGCAGGGATGGCTGGCATGTGGTGCTGGGGGATTGAACTGTGGTCCCTGTGCTTTGCTTAGCTTAGCTTGTTCTAAGTAGGTGTTTTAGACCACTGAGCCATCTCACCAGCCCCTAATTTTATCTTTTTGTAAATAGCTTATTTCACTTAACATACTATTTTTTAAGCTTTTTAAACATTTATTTATTTGGGGGCTGGTGAGATGGCTCAGTGGTCTAAAGCACCTACTTGGAACAACCTT